CAGTGTCAATTGAAAGATTAAGTTCCGATAAAGTGGCTGTTTGCTGTGAGGGTGAGAAAAAAATTTCTCAGTTGCTGGTGAATTATGTCAGCTATGACAATGAAGGGTATTCTATGCTAACAACTAATGAGAAGATAAGTGAGGCAGAGTATTTTAGTAGTCAAAGTGCGAAATGTGTAGGTTGTACGCATTATCATCGTAATAGCTGTTTTATTGTGCAAAATGTGATCGATAATTTATTTATCAATTCATTAGAAATGCTGTACGGAAAAAAATTTGTTGACAAGTGTTTGCTTTTTTCCGAGTTTACAAGCCTTTGTGGATATTTTATACAGTTCCACAACAATGTAGCAAAAACAAAACTTCGTGATAAAGCGATCACGATCTATATTGCCAGCAGAATTGAAAACATTGTGACATCGTGCATAAAACTGAGGAATGGAGGAGATGATCAATATAAGAACAAACAGAATATGCTGATACAGATCGATTATCGTTCCTTTGTTCGTACATTTCTGTTTTCACAGCTTCTTTATGTCTTCAGAGTTGAGTCAAGCGTTATTTCTAAGTACGTATTTTTTTCCGAGCTGGAGTATACTTATTTGACAGTTTGTGGTGCGAGTAATCCTGATACTGTTTGCGATACTTTTTTGGAGGGATATGAGCCTCTATTCTTTTTGCTGTCTGGTTTATTTGACAAGATTGGGTTTACAAACCGTTGTTCAATCACTACTTGGAATATAAATCTAAGCATGGAGCACTTAGATGGAAAATACATTCTTAAGGAGATTCTTCGTATCTATTCACGTCATATGAAAGAGATATTAGGACAAAACGTAAAATGGTTGTATGGATATATTGGACGGTATCTCTCCACAAGCTATTCTGAGAGGCGAGATGAAATACTCAATAAAATTGAGGAATTGAATTATAACAATTCTGAACCTATGGCACAGCAAGTTTGTGATCTTTATAAGTGTGTTAGAAGGCATCTGGAAGAGCTGATACGCCAGTAAATAACACCCAGATATGAGAATCATAAGATTAAATAGTATTTATGAATTTATGTTGTCTAAATATTACATGTGTTTTTGTAGTAGTTTTTACATCTGATATTACAATTCATTATTATTGTGAACAGACATCAGATGATATCATCATCGCATGAGTAAAAAGACAACTCAGAAGCTGATTGTTCGGTTCTGGAAAGTAAATTATTTGACCCTTCGAGAAAAATAAAAAAATTTGTTTCATGTATTTGCACTGCATGAAGAGTCTAAAGTTGTTGTACAACTCATTCTTTCTGAGATGCACTTAGTCATCATTTACAAACAATATTTTCATTCTATTTTTATTTATTCAACTCCTATCATTATTTAGTTGGCTGTTTTTATGAACACCACCACGTATAAGTAAAGTGCATGAAATAAATAACATATCTGCACTTTTAACTTTTGTTTGATGTCCTCAACATTGTAACAAATTATGATAGCATTCACAGTATATTTTGATGATTTACCAGAAAAAGAATAAAATACAAAGAAATGGATGTAACAATGTGTTTTTGGTCAATGTAACAGAACATAATATCACAATCAAATTGACAATTTGGTGAACATTTTGTATGTTCTCATCATTGACTAACATTCATTTTTCTGGAAGAAATAAAACTATAAGTAAGTTAAGAAGTCGATGCATCATGTTTCCAGATTGTGACAATACGCCGACTGAAAAGTTTTTGATGGAAAAAACACAGTTGTTAAATCCTGGTGGTTTTTTTTGTGCTGTAGATAATCAGCTGATTGTCTACCGCGGCAAAGCCTTATTTATTGATCGGACCTACGAGAGTCTGCAAAATGTTCCTGGCTCCGTGTACAGTTCTTAACAAAGCACTTCGATATTGTGCATGTTCTAAAAAAAGTATAAAATCAGAAAAAATAATACCAGTAGCAGTAAAAAATAATCAGACAATATCTCTAAACCGACATTTCATATCACTATGTACATCAGAACAGCCGATGGGTATTGCGACAGCGGGGTGATGACAAAGTCATTACAAGATTGTATGCGGTTAATCCAGAGGAAAAGGAGAGATTCTATCTGAGAATGCTCTTGCTCAATGTGAGAGGTGCCACGTCATTCGACGATTTAAGAAGTGCCAACAATGTTGTATATGGCACATGCGAGGAAGCAGCAAGGGCAAGAAATCTTCTGCAGGATGACAGCGAATGGAAGAACGTGCTGAGCGAAGCTGCAATGACAGAGACATCTGACACATCAGAAAGCTGTTCGCATACATCTGTGTGTTCAACGGACCGCATGATGCATTTGGGCTGTTCAACGACTACGTTAACGATATGTGCAATGACATCGTTAACAAGATATATGGTGATGTTACCAACATGGCTGACAGCGAAGATCTGACGAACAGAACTATACTCACAACAAACAACGATGCTGCAAAGGAAATCAATGACAGTGTCCTTGACTTGATAATTGGCAACGAAGTGACATACACGAGTGCAGACTCTATTGTCACAGAAGACAACGATGTTGTTGCGAACTATCCGTTAGAGTTTCTCAACAAGCAGCAGCCTTCAGGAATGCCACCGCACAAGTTAGTTCTAAAAAGGGGTGCGTTGATAATGCTATTGCGCAACCTTGATTCAGCCAATGGCCTGCTCAATGGCACACATCTGGTGGTTGATGAACTTCACACAAACTTCATCATAGCTACG